CTATTCAAATAAACCTACCATTAAAATTATAGACTGATCATTTCTTTGTCAATGGGCAAACGTACGAAATCAGCAGGGGATCAAATACTTTTTTCCCTCACTGTATAGTTATATTACAAAACGACACACACACACACACATCCCAAAAAGTTAAAAGAAAGAAATTAAGAAATATCAGAACGAGCAATGTCAGAGTCCGGAATATAAATATGTGTATATATTGGTTTGTATAGACAGTATGGACAGTATATGAATAGAAAAGGTCTGTACAGCAGTAGTTATATAGGATGAGCCTTGACTAGAATACAGTATACATATGAAGTGAGTTAAACAGTATGTAGCCTAAACATTATGTTCAATGACTATGTACATAGTGCTGGTTAGTAAACAGGTTGGTTTTGTTATACGCGCCTGTCCGTCGCAGCACTTAAAAAGCAGTTATACATTTTAAAGGCAGGCTCAGCGAAATGACCTTGCCACGAGCAGCACCGCAGATGTTGAGATGAGCGAGATGCAAGACCTCGCTCAGTCTTACACACAGTATCGGCGCATTTTAAATAGTTTTGGTTTAAACAGCGCATTCACCCCAAATGTTTGTCCCCTGTTCTATTGTTTCAACATGATATCGATGGAAGTGATGAAACAACAAAAATGACGTTGCACTTACCTCGTTGGCGACCCACTTGAATCAAAATTCAACACTTTAAAATGTAGCTGGGTGTCTTCTACAAGTTGTCCTCTAACTAATGACGTACACATTATTCCCAGATTCCGTGTGGTTTTTGAGCAGTGGTAGTTTCAACAGTGCATACAACCTGATTTTTCCCCCCTAATTGATATGAGTGATTTATTGCCACTTGCCAAAACAGGGTTTTTGGTGCGTGTGCAGTTTATAAGGTGCTCGTTTAAAAAAATATATATACTATTGTTGCACATGTATGTGTACATAGTCATTTTTAAGTTCTCAATATCGTAAACTGTTTCTGAATATTGGTTATATGTTATTGGTTATATTATTCTGCATATTGGTTACATCATTTCCAACTGCAGTTTTAGGAATATAAATGGAACTTTCAACATTAATTTCCAATTTTAAAAAAAAACTGCTGAATTAGTCCAAAAACGTGCTGTGATTGATTTTTATTTTGATGATATACCAGAAATCACCTAAATGGGTTTGCCCTGTCTAGTTGCTACAGATTGTATACCAGATGCACTAAGTCACCAAAATTATGTGGACTTGGCTATTTCAGAACACCCGTTGCTGACGGGTGTATAACATTGAGTACACAGCCATGCAATCTCCATAGACAAACATTGGCAGTAGAATGGCCTTACTGAAGAGCTCGGTGACTTTCAACGTGGCACCGTCATAGGATGCTACCTTTCCAACTAGTCAGTTCGTCAAATTTCTGCCCTGCTAGAGCTGCCCCGGTCAACTGTAAGTCCTGTTATTGTGAAGTGGAAATGTCTAGGAGCAACAACGGCTCAGCCGCGAAGTGGTAGGCCACACAAGCTCACAGAATGGGATCGCCGAGTGCTGAAGTGCATAAAAATCGTCTGTCCTCAGTTGCAACACTCAGTACCGAGTTCCAAAATGCTTCTGAAAGCAACGTCAGCACAATAACTGTTCATCGGGAGCTTCGTGAAATGGGTTTCCATGGCCGAGCAGCCGCTCACAAGCCTAAGATCACCATGTGCAATGCCAAGCGTCGGTCGGAGTGGTGTCAAGCTCTCCGTCATTGGACTCTGGAGCAGTGGAAACGCGTTCTCTGGAGTGATGAATCACGCTTAAACATCTGGCAGTCTGATGGACGAATCTGGGTTTGGTGGATGCCAGGAGAATGCTACCTGCCCCAATGCGTAGTGCTAACTGTAAAGTTTGGTGTAGGAGGAATAATGGTCTTGGTCTGTTTTTTATGGTTCGGGCTAGGCCCCTTAGTTCCAGTGAAGGGACATCTTAATGCTACAGCATACAATGACATTCCAGACGATTCTGTGCTTCCAACTTTGTAGCAACAGTTTGGGGAAGGCATTTTCCAGTTTCAGCGTGACAATGCCCCCGTGCACAAAGCGAGGTCCATACATAAATGGTTTGTCGAGATCGGTGTGGCAGAACTTGACTGGCCTGCACAGAGCCCTGACCTCAACCCCCATCGAACACCTTTGGGATGAATTGGAACACCGACTGTGAGCTAGGCCTAATCGCCCAACATCGGTGCCCTACCTCACTAATGCTCTTGTGGCTGAATGGAAGCAAGTCCCCGCAGCTATGTTCCAACAATTAGTGGAAAGCCTTCCCCAAAGAGTGGAGGCTGTTATAGCAGCAAACAGGGGACCAACTCCATATTAATGCCCATGATTTTGGAATGAGATGTTTGACGAGCAGGTGTCCACATACTTTTGGTCATGTAGTATATGTGATAACTATGTTTCTATTACTGGGCTTTACATGGTAATGTTGGTTTATACAAAACATTGTCATAGATGTTTAAATTAACCTGTTCTTGACGATACTTTCTTAATTCTCGATCCGGAGTAAAGGGTATCTTATAAATGTCGGTTGCCTGTGTGTAGGTCTTTGTTTTGGTCGCACTGTGTGACACTCGAGCGGTACAACATTTGGATTAATATCTTTCTGAGTTTTCTCTGGTTTTTGTAGAACCACCTGCAACTGGACACGGACTTTTATAAGATACCCTTTTCCCTGAATCGAGAACGAACACAAATCAAATTTTATTCGCCACATGCTTCGTAAACAATAGGTATAGAGTAACAGTGCGACCAAAACAAAGTAACATGCGTACTTACAGCCCCCTCCCAACAATGTAGAGAGAAAGGAAATGGAGAAATAATAGAAAAGTAAAACCTGTAGTAGATACGCAGTGAGTAACGTTAACTTGCCTATATATACGGGGTACCAGTACCGAGTCTGTGTGCAGGGGGACGAGGTAGATATAACTAGGAATACATTGACAGATGGTAAACAGTAGCAGCAGCGTATGTGATGAGTCAAAGTTATTGCAAAAAGGGTAAATGCAGATAGTCCCGGTAGCTATTGGTTAACTAACTATTTAGCAGTCTTATGGCTTGGGGGGGTAGAAGCTGTTCAGGGTCCTGTTGGTTCCAGACTTGGTGCAGCGGTACCGCTTACCGTGCGGTAGCAGAGAGAACGGTTTGACTTGGGTGGCTGGAGTCTGACAATTTGTAGGGCCTTTCTCTGAAATCGCCTGGTATAGAGGTCCTGGATGGAAGGGAGCTCGGCCCCAGTGATGTACTGGGCCGTACCCACTACCCTCTGTAGCGCCTTGCGGTCAGATGCCAAGCAGTTGCCATACCAGGCGGTGATGCAGCGAGTCGGGACGCTCTCAATGGTGCAGCTGTAGAACTTTAAGGATCTGAGGACCCAGGCCAAATCTGTTCAGCGTCCTGAGGGGGGAAGGGCCGTGTTTTGCCCTCTTCACGACTGTGATCAGATTTTCCAAATGGAGCGTGAGGGAGAGCTTTGTATGCGTCTCTGTGTGGAGTAAAGAGGATCTAGATTTTTTTCACCTCTAGTTGCACAGGTGACATGCTGGTAGAAATTAGGTGACTGGTTTCAGTTTTCTGGAGAAATGCTTTGGGTGAGCATTTTCTTGTTTGCTTATGGCCCCATACAGCTCATTGAGTTCGGTCTTAGTGCCAGCATCGATTTGTGATGTTAAATATACTGCTACGAAAAATATAGATCAACTGTTGTTGAATAGTATCGTCTACAGCTTATCATGAGGTATTCTAACTCAGCCGAGCAGAACCTCGAGACGTCCTTTAATATTAGAGATTGCGTACCAGTTGTTAACACACACCTACCCCCTTGAGCCTACCCGACGCTGCTGCGGCGATGCATAGAAAAACCAGCTAGATGTATATTATCCATGTCCTCGTTCAGCCACGACTCTGGGAAACACAGGATATTACAGTTCTTCAGGTCCCGTTGATAGGATAGTCTCGAACAGAGCTCGTCCAGTTTGTTCTCCAGTGATTGTACATTCGCCAATAGAATGGAGGGTAGACAGGGGTTTATTTACTCGCCAACGTAGTTTTGTCAGGGTTGCCCGCACGTCGGCCTCTCTCGCTTCCGAGTCTCAGGGATTATGTCCTGGTCTGTCCGTGGTGAGCATTATGTCCTGAGCCTCCGACTCGTTGAAGTAGGAATCTTCATCCAAATCCAGGTTAGTGATCGCTGTTCTGATTAAACTCTATTTGGTCGTAAGAAACAATCGCAGGAAACATTATGTCCAAAACAGTTAAGATCAGCGCAAACAAACACACAAAATGGCTGCCATCCATTGCAGTGCCATTCTGATGCAGTTAGTATTAAGAGCAGGTTAGTTGAAACGTCTATGGCAGCGTTTTTTGTAAGCTAACCCAGCGATGGGCAACTTTGATGGGGGTGGGTGGGGACCACAAAATCTGAACACGTGGGGTCGCAGTGGCTTGGGGGTTTATGTACCCACAGCTGTACCCACATATGCAGTCAGAGCCGGCCCTAGCTTTTTTGGGGCCATGGATCACATAAGCATACCTCACCGACAGCAGCAGTGGCATCCTTCCTAGTCACTCTGCCATTCTGTACGCCTCAGAACCACTCCCCAGTTGTTGTGTAGAAATCCAAGGTTGCACAGAGATGTGATGAATAGAGTGCAAAACGATTAATTGAGAATTGAATGGTTGTTGTTGAATTCTTCATTCCACTCACACACAGTAATGTCCATTTATTACTGAAAAGATACATCCATCTTGATTTTTGTTGGCACGTTATCTGCAATGTCCTTCTGCTACCTCAAAGACCGGGCAAAAGGTTTGCAGATGGACAGGCAATAAAGAAAACATATTTTCATATAGCTTTTGAGGCACGCTTCAGTGGTGAGCTCTCATCCAGCAACCCCATTTATTAGTTGACAGATTCACAAACCTCTGCTTTAGAACTTTGTCTATCTACATGACTCACTGAAATCACTATGGTGACCAATGTGAGAATACGTTCTCCACTGTGAAAACGTAGGGATAAATAAAGGGCACCAGATGGTAGCTTTTCAGCAGAGGCTGAAGGTAGGGTGCAGGGTCATGTTCATTAGATATCAAACATACTGAAACAGGTAGAAATGAACTGATCTTATCCGATAAGGCTACATTTACACAGGCAGCCCAATTCTGATCTTTTGCCCAGTTATTGGCAAAAGAGCAGATCTGATTGGTCAAATGACCCATTAGAGGAAAAATAATCAGAAGTGGACTGCCTGTGTAAATGCACGCTCATTTTTGTTTTCCATTAAATAACATTTTGAAACATTTGGCCACAGTGTGCCCTAATGAACATGACCCAGGTGTTGTGGTCTGTAGACTGACAGACATACAGACGTAGAGAGAGTGAGAGGCAGCAGCTTGCAGTACAGGAGAGGGTAAATTACCGACATTGCATTTAGCGTTACGTCGTTTATTTTTGGTGATTATGCTACACAACGTTCCTGTAGATTTGTTCTAAAACCATTATTTGTTCAACAGTAATATCCTATACATTATGTTGATACCTTCTATGAAAGTATCAGCCTGTCCCTGTTTGGCTATCGGCTGCTGACTCACTTCCTCTCCCCACTGTGACACATACAGCTGGGAAGAACTATTGGATATCAGAGTGGCGGTAACTCTCCAGCACTACCAGCATTCTGACCAGGAATACGACTTTCCCCGAAGCGGATCCTTTGTTCGCACCCCCCAGGGCAATTGAACTGATTCCAGAGGCCGACCTAAAACAATGCCGGCGGAGGGGAGGTACTCAGAGCGGCCTGCTGGTCCGACGTAGGAGGCGCGCACACCACCCACCGCTTCAGAGTATATTACTCGCTAATGTTCAGTCTCTGGATAACAAAGTTGACAAGCTCAGATCGAGGGTTTCTTTCCAGGATATACTGTCTGAGTCGGTCCAGCCAGTTGGGTTCTCAGTTCATCGCGCAGACAGGAATAAATGTCTCTCCGAGAAGCAGAAGGGCGGTGGTGTGTTTCATGATTAACGACTCATGGTGTAATTGTGGTCACATACAGGAACTCAAGTCCTTCTGTTCACCCGACCTAGAATACCTCACAATCAAATGCCGACCGTATTATCTCCCAAGGTAATTTTCTTCGGTTATGGTCACGGCCGTGTATATCCCCCCCTCAAAGAACTTCACTGGATTTTATGCAAACTGGAAACCACATATCCTGAGGCTGCATTTATTGTAGCTGGGGATTTTAACAAAGCAAATTTGAGGACAAGGCTGCCGAAGTTCTATCAACACATCGACTGTAGTACTCGCGCTGCAAAAACACTCAACCGTTGCTAAATCATTCTCTCTACTATTATTCTGACATTTCACATTCTTAAAATAAAGTGGTGATTCTTACTGACCTAAGACAGGGAATTTTTACTATGATTAAATGTCAGGAATTGTGAAAAACTGAGTATAAATGTATTTGGCTAAGATGTATGTAAACTTCCGACTTCAACTGTATGGACAAGCAATGACAGAGCGGCATGGACTAAGATACAGTAGACTATTATAGAATAGAATGCAGTATATACATATGAGATGAGTAGTGCAAGATATGTAAACATTATTAAAGTGACTAGTGTTCCATTTCTTAAAGTGGCCAGTGATTTCAATAGGCGGCAGCAGCCTCTAATGTGCTAGTGGTGGCTATTTAACAGTCTGATGGCCTTGAGATAGAAGCTGTTTTTCATTCTCTCGGTCCCAGATTGGAAGTGTTCCGGTGTTGTGTTGGATATACATAGCCAGCTAGATAACATAGCATCCCTCTGTTTGAGCAGGTTGTTTGAGTAGGCTAAACTAGTTAGCTGCATTTGCTAGCTAAGTAAGTGTGAAAAAATTTTTTGGAAGCAATGTATTTGTTCAAAACTGTACAACTATTGTCTCTCGCTCTTTGAGTCAACTACTCACCACGTTTTATGCACTGCAGTGCTAGCTAGCTGTAGCTTATGCTTTCAGTACTAGATTAATTATCTGATCCTTTGATTGGGTGGACAACATGTCAGTTAATTCTGCAAGAGCTCAGCTAGGTTGGAGGACGTCCTCCGGAAGTTGTCATAATTACTGTGTAAGTCTATGGAAGGGGGTGAGAACGATGAGCCTCCTAGGTTTTGTATTGAAGTCAATGTACCCAGAGGAGGACGGAAGCTAGCTGTCCTCTGGCTACACCATGGTGCTACCCTACAGAGTGCTGTTGAGGGTACTGTAGACCTTCATTGCAAAAAAGTGTGTTTTTAATCAATTATTTGGTATAGTTTTATCTAAAAAGGATAACTTTTTTAAATGTTTTACAATTTTTGTTTTTATGAAATTCACAGAGGACAGTCCTCCACTTCCTCCTCTGAGGAGCCTCCACTGGTATATAATATATTTCTCACCTCTTAATATTGTGTTCATGGAACCACTTTACAACTGGTGTAGGCTGTAGTTAGTATGGTTTTGATGTGCCTGCGCAGCGCGCCATTTGCAGTGAGTAGGCCTACATCAAGTAGCCTATGCCTAGCGGTGGAACGTTTTTGTAGGACATTAGCCTACATTTACTGATAGCCATGTGTAGGCTAATTGATTAATCTATCTAGCAGCAATATCTTTACAGTTAGCAATCTAGCGAAGTGTTTTGAGTTCCCACTTCCTCAGGTGGTGAATAATATAGCCTATATTTGCCAACAAAGATGTCGGCAAATTCTCTGAAGATCAAAAAATAAATGTTAGCCTAATTCTGCATTATATTTTGACAGGTTGCACATCAAAATATCAATCATGCATTTCCTGAGTGTGTTGAATGAACTAGCGTACTTTTTTAATCATAGGCTATACCATCTCAGTTGTCTTACTTGGCACTGGAAGAAAATTGTCTAGAGCCCTGCCGCTAATGGAAAGTAACTGTCCATTAAAACATTTTCTTATCGTTGTATTTGTTGTCGCGCAAAATGGTTACATTTATCACGATATTACTTTTTATCCATATCACCCAGCTAGCACCCCCAAAAATAATTTATTGATTTATCGTTATTGCAAAAAAATGGGTGAACTTATCGCGATATGGGTTTTTGTCCATATTGCCCAGCTCTAGGAGAGGGCAGAGGACATCAGCGTTGATGAGCAAGGCTCACAGCCCTCCCTCCAAGTCTGTGGAGAGGAGAGGGAAAGGAGAGAGAGAGGGAGAGAGAGTGCATCAGCGTTGACGTGAGCAGAACACATCAGACAGCCCTCCATCCAAGGCTGCAGAGAGGAGAGGGAAAGAGGGGTGTGCCTGTGGCTGGAGGCTTGCCGGTATGTTCTGAGGGGGTCTCATCTGTCCTTTCCTCTGCCTGCTAGATACCTAGTAGCTACAGCCTCTATAAGCACTCATGCTTTCAGAAACACGAAGTCGCCTGTTTGAGTTCCTAGCACATGGATTGGTGAGTGAAATGGTTGTGTGTTGTGGAGGATTTTTGTTGTTAGCGTTTTTATTGGGATTTTTTGCTGTAAAATTTCCAGGGTATTTCACCTATATCCCTATACCTGAAATATGTTTTATTGGGTAGTGAAAATATACATTTAGTTTCTTATTTACAATTTTAAGATGGCTAATATATTTTTTATTGTGAATGCAAAATAAGGTGGCCTTGATTCAATATAAGGTTGTTTTAATTCAATCTGTATTGTGTTGGCTAGTGCTGATGTTTGTTATATTGTCCTTGAATGATTGTTCAATTTAGTTCCGTTCTACATCAAATATCAGAGCATGTCTGCCCGTATTTCAAAACATGGATTTATATTCACTTGTTGCTGCTCACCAATGTCTCCTGTATGCTCACCAATGTCTCCTGTATGCTCACCAATGTTTCCTGTATGCTCACCAATGTTTCCTGTATGCTCACCAATGTTTCCTGTATGCTCACCAATGTTTCCTGTTTGCTCACCAATGTTTCCTGTATGCTCACCAATGTTTCCTGTTTGCTCACCAATGTTTCCTGTTTGCTCACCAATGTTTCCTGTTTGCTCACCAATGTTTCCTGTATGCCTGTCCTATTCGAGTCCTTTAGTTATTTATAAATAATGGTGAGGAATTTAACGTAGTTTTCATGCCATTGAAACAGCCTCTATCCAGAGAATCACCTTGTTTGTACGATTCCTTCCACTACCGTCCTCACCAAGCCACATCCTTGACCCTGACTGGTATGGTACGGAACAGCATAGAGTAGCCAGCCAAGTAGAAAAAGGAGCCAGCCAGGCGCTCCTTCGCCGAATAAGCTTTATTTCGGTGGCATCTGGTACATTCTAATGCCTTGATTCCATCTCAAATACACAGTGAAATTATTGAATACTTAATCGAGTTTACCTTCAACCACAACCTCTTTACTTCTCTCTTTTCTCCTCTTCTACATTTTATCATCTCTTTTATCCTATTTCCTCTCCTCTTTTCTCCTATCATCAAACACCATCCATCTTTCCCTCTCCTCCAGACTCTAACCCCTCCCTCTCCTGCAGACTCTAACCCCTCCCTCTCCTCCAGACTCTAACCCCTCCCTGTCTCTCCTCTCCTCCAGACTCTAACCCCTCCCTGTCTCTCCTCTCCTCCAGACTCTAACCCCTCCCTGTCTCTCCTCTCCTCCAGACTCTAACCCCTCCCTGTCTCCTCTCCTCCAGACTCTAACCCCTCCCTGTCTCTCCTCTCCCCCTCCAGAGACCAGGTGGGATGCCACCCTCCAGCCGTATGACACCACAGGGTCCGCCCATGGGGCCTCCAGGCTACGGCTCCAGCCCCGTGTCCCGACCAGGGATGCCTGGCGTCATGGATCCCTCCCGTAAGAGGCCTGCCCCCCAGCAGATCCAGCAGGTCCAGCAACAGCGCAACCAACAGTAAGATCTGACTAACTGTCAGTATTTTGTTATTTTAGGCTTGAATGGATTTACTTCAACAGTGATCTTTTACATTGCTACCAGGAGATGAGGGATATTATAAATGATTATTAGTTTACTATAATTATTTGTCCTCATTCAGAGTTGACCGTATCTTTGTAAAAAAGATTAAATACAGGCCTTTTCGTTCCTTATAAACTCCCACTGTATTGTTTTGTTTTATTGCAGTACCAAGAAGAAGAAGATGGCGGATAAGATTCTACCTCAGAGGATCCGGGAGCTGGTGCCAGAGTCTCAGGCCTACATGGACCTGCTGGCGTTTGAGAGGAAGCTGGATCAGACCATCATGAGGAAACGCCTGGACATCCAGGAGGCACTCAAGAGACCCATCAAGGTAAAAAGATGGAGTAATATCCTCACTAGGGCCAAGGCCTGTATTCATAAAGCATTTCAAAGCAACAGTGCTGATCTGGGATCATTGTTGCCTTTTAGATCCTAATGAATAACATTATATGGACAGGGATGATTTTATAGGCTACAATTCAGGCCCAGGATTTTTTCCTGACCAACAAGGTGGCCTGACCAGGAAAGCTCAGGGCCTGAGTTGTAGCCTATAAAATGGGACCTGGAGTTTTCCATGGTCATCACGTCCCATGTTTTGCTCTGAAGATAATACAGATTTTGGTAGTGAAATTCAACATGACTGGGCTTTTTGTGTTTCAGCAAAAGCGAAAGCTTCGTATCTTCATATCTAACACCTTCAACCCTGCCAAGCCCGACGCAGAAGACGGAGAGGGCACTGTTGCATCATGGGAACTGCGTGTCGAAGGGCGCCTGCTTGAAGATGTAAGACTAATTAGTAGCCGTTTGTTTGTGTGTATTGAGGGTGTGTGTTGAAGGTTAGTGTCTTGTGTGTGTGTGTTTATAACTTGGTAAAATGTATCTGATAATTGTTTTCTTTCTCAGACTGCTGTGTCCAAGTATGAAGCCACCAAGCAGAAGAGAAAGTTCTCTTCTTTCTTCAAGTCTCTGGTCATCGAGTTGGACAAGGACCTATATGGGCCTGACAATCACTTGGTCGAGGTAAGAAGATGCGGTTTAATGTTCGGATATAAAAATGTATGATTAGATTTGTTTTCATGAATAAGGCGATCAATATTAGCTAATTTCCACTGCCACTTTTCTTAACCGCTTTCTCTATTGTAATCTCTCTAATGATATTCTGTTCTAAAGAAACTAAAAGGACTAGTAACGTTTTTTTAAATATTGTTTAGTGGCACAGGACTGCGACCACTCAGGAGACGGATGGGTTCCAGGTGAAGAGACCAGGTGATGTGGGCGTACGTTGCACTGTCCTGCTCATGCTGGACTACCAGGTAAACACACCTCGAATTCACAACCTGCTACAACCTCACACACTCCCTCTAGCTGTCACTAAAGGTAATGTTTTAACTATTTGGTTGTAATATCAGCACTTCTTGAAGAGCGTAGTCAGAACTACGAATGTCCGATTATTCCATGCAAAACAATTGCACACATTTAGCTCGGTCATCAGAGTTATACAGCAAGTAAATGCATGCTATTCATGATCAGTAAAACATCTGTTGATCGTGTCGTTTCAGATACATTAGGGTAGCCAACCCATTTGGCATGTAGATAGTTAGTAGGGGTGTAGATAGTTAGTAGGGGTGTAGATAGTTAGTAGGGGTGTAGATAGTTAGTAGGGGTGTAGATAGTTAGTAGGGGTGTAGATAGTTAGTAGGGGTGTAGATAGTTAGTAGGGGTGTTGTTCGTTTAGGGGTGTAGATAGTTAGTAGGGGTGTTATCGTTAGTCGGGGTGTAGCTCGTTATCGGGGTGTAGCGTCTTCGTCGGGGTGTGCTCGTTCGTCGGGGTGTCGCTGTTTCGTCGGGGTTGTGCATCGTTCGTGGGGTGTCGCTAGTGTTCGTCGGGTGTCGCTCTGTTCAGTCGGGTGTCGCTCGTTCGTCGGGGTGTCGCTCGTTCGTGGGGTTTTCGCTCGTTCGTCGGGGTGTCGCTCTGTCTGTGGGTGTCGTCAGTTCGTCGGGTGTCGCTCGTTCGTCGGGGTGTCGCTCGTTCGTCTCGGGTTGTCGTCGGGGGGTGTTCGTGGGGTTGTCGCGTTAGTTCGTCGGGGTGTGCTTGTTCGTCGGGGTGCTGTTCGTCGGGGTGTCGCTCGTTCGTCAGGGTGTGTGTTTTCGTGGGTGTCGCTCGTTCTGTGGGGTGTCGCTCGTTCGTGGGGTGTCGATCGTTCGTGGGTGTTCTTGTGGTTGTCGTTGTCGGGGTGTGTCTTCGTCGGGGTTTTCTACTCGTTCGTCGGGGTGTCGCTCGTTTTCGTCGGGGTGTCGCTCTTTTCGTCGGGTTGTCGCTCGTTCGTCGGGGTGTGTCGTTCTGGGGTGTCGTCGTTCTGGGTGTCGCTCGTTGTCGGGGTGTCGCTCGTTCGTCGGGGTGTCGCTGTTGTCGGGTTCGCTCGTTTCGTGGGTCTGTTCGTGGGGTTCTGTTCGTTCGTCGGGTGTCGCTGTTCGTTTCTCGGGGTGTCCTCGTTGTTCGTCGGGGTGTCGCTCGTTGTTCGTCGGGTGTCGCTCGTTCTTCGGGTGTTCTCGTTTCGTCGGGTGTGCTGTTCGTCGGGGTTCGCTTTTCGTCGGGGTTGTCGCTGTTTGTCGGGGTGTCTCTCGTTCGTTCGTCGGGGTGTGGTCTCGTTCGTTGTCAGGGGTGTCGCTTTCGTTCGTCGGGGTGTCGCTGTTCGTTGTCGGGGTGTGCTCGTCGTTCGTCGGGTGTCTCGTTCGTTCGTGGGTGTCGCTTCGTTTTCTGTCGGGTGTCGCTGTTCGTTCGTCGGGTGTCGCTCGTTGTTCGTCGGGGTGTCGCTCGTTCGTTCGTCGGGTGTCGCTACGTTCGTTCTCGGGGTGTCGCTCTTTTCGTTCGTCGGGTGTCGCCTCGTTCGTTCGTCGGGTTGTCGTCGTTTCGTTCGTCGGGTGTGTCGCTCGTTCGTTGTTCGGGGTGTCGCTCGTTAGTTGTCGGGGTTGTGCTGTTCGTTTTTCGTCGGGTGTGGTCTTTTAGTCGGGTGTCGCTCGTTGTGGGGTGTGTAGTTCGTCGGGGTGTCTCGTTCGTCGGGTGTCGCTAGTTAGTAGGGGTGTAGATAGTTAGTGGGGTGTAGATAGTTCGGCTTTTTGGAAGAGCTTGACGTCGGCGACTAGCCTGTTTTGATTCACAACTCGTCCTGGTAAACGACAGTCATCACTAGGCCTGTGGCGGTCACGAAATTTCGTCAGCCGGTGATTGTCACGCAAATAACTGTCGGTCTCAAGGGAATTGACCGTTAATTAACATAGACACATTTAGCATCTCCTGGCTTCCACACACAGCCTACAAGCCATTGATGCAGACCTTTGGAACATCTACATTAAAATTTAAAAAAAGTATAATAAATCATTGTAATATATCCTACACCTTCACAATAAATCCATTATTTATTTTAGACAGGTCTAAAGAAACATGATATGAAGAAAATGTAGTCTATTTCAGAAGAACAGAATAGCATACTCTGAGTTGTCCTTATGTTAGGTCCTGATGTGGCTAGGCCAAGTTGCTGTGGGCTACACTAGTTCATTTAGCGGACAAGATTTGCTTAGAATTCCATGTTATTATTTTATGGTATGAAGAAAACAATTGAACAAAGCTGAATAAAATAGAAAGGATATTTTCTCCAAATGATTTGAGGGAGTGCGCTCATGTGGCTATTCTGTGTTGAGCGGTTAACAAAGAAATAGGTCCTCCTATATGCATAATTTAGTTATTAATGTAACTTTAGTTGTTCTATAAACGTTGGGCTATATGTTTAGATTTTCAATACATTGTAAGGCTGCATGATGTGACTAATGATGATTTGAAAAAAGTATCTTGAAAGGAATGAGCTCTGCTTTGTTTTTTGCGCAGGCGTTACACACTTCATCAGTCTCTCATTCACAATTTGACAAGCACTTGATAATGCCTCGAATTTCACGGTGGCATCCCCTTTGTGTGGCCGTAATGCAACCCAAAAAAAATCCATGCCTTTTGCGGCCAGTGGCCGTTGTGCCCTTCTCCCTGAGTGCTGTGCGCTCCGAATCACCTCTCACTCACATGGCTCCCCATCACGTGTTCGGGTCTTTCTCACAAGCTACAAGTGAAGACGGACACATCGGGGACGCAACTGCACGCGTCCTTATCCAATTCCGAGGTGCATATTGAAGATATTGGAAGAACTGTCCACATTTACTTTTCGTCAGCCAACAAGAAGAGTCGGCCTGACGAACAGCAAAAGCACTAGCCTATGTCCATCTACTATCTCTCATTGTATTCTGTGCGAGAAATAAATATTCCAAACATAGTCTGGGACAGTTGTGGGATGCGATAGATCCCAAATTTAATGCAACCACTAGCATCCCCCCAAAAAAATTTGCGCAATGTGGCTGACGCAACAGATCAGAACGTTTAGCTTAACATTTTGATCAACTATTAGGCTATTTCTTCACATTATAAGTGCAGCAATGCACACATGGTAGTAGGCTATAAGCGGAAATGTTCCATTAGCGGAAAACACCATTTATCAAAAGTGACCGCAAATGCAATTATGCATGTAATGCTTTTATTGTAAAGGTGCATTTTTATGATAAATTATCTTCCCCAAACTTGAAACTCACACGCTGCTTATGTATGCCAGTTAGGCAATACACCCCTTGTAAAGTGGATTAATGTGCTTAATTTTAAGAAGTTATTTGGCCACTTTAGTTGTGATACAAACCTTATTAAAACATATAGGCCTATGGGCTGTGCTGCATGAGGTGTGCGACTATGATTAGAAAAAGTCGCCAAAAAAAAAAGGCATTGTTAAGATGGGCATCATTCACAAGTGATAATATATCATTCACAAGTGATAGGCTAATATTGTCACCTATCAGACTGTTCTTGATTTCATCTTGCCTTTACATACACTAAATAATATATGTTAAATTTGTTTTGATTTAGAATGGACGATTATCATGCACCTGTATCGAAACAGGGGTAGTGGGAAAAAATACATGTCTATGCACTTAAATAGCGAATGGAGGACGCTTTTCCCCGTGGTTTATTTTCATGCCAGCCAGGTAGGCTATACTCCTGTTGTAAATATAAGCAATGTGCTTAATATTAGGAAAGTTGAGAAATAAATATAGTAGGCCTAGCCTATAGAAAGCTGATCCTCCTCTTTTTACATCACTCTGTTTTCTCGCACAATTGCGTAGCCTATTGAAATGTTGTGCAACATGAGCTCATGGGCTCTCATGAAGTGTTTGATTAGATTTTTGAACACATTTGCATTGATGTCAGAGTGATTAGAGGGACAATAGAGTGCTGAGTACCAGGCAGTTAGCAAGTTTGGTAGGCTACTAATGACCATCAGTAGCATCAGAGCTTGGAGAAGCCTAATTACCCTGACTAAACGGTCACGTGGAATTTGACTGCCTTCATAACTCGTGACCGCCGGTGTGGCGGTAATACGGTCACCGCAACAGCCCTAGTCATCACCACTATAGATGGTATCTAGTTTATCTCCTGAAAGGTAGCTTGTTAACTAGCATAATTGACGTGATCTGTTATTAGCTAGCTAGCCAATTTGACGTGGTCCATCAATCAATGTAGCCTATCATGTCTGCCAGAAGCAATTGCGGTTGAACGCTCTTAAAAACAACGTTGAAAAAGGGGATAATGTTGTAAGCTAGGTATGTTGGTTGGAGAAAAGTACATTACTTGCCAACAGTAGGCTAGCCAACATGGGCATATGTGCCCTTCTGCTGCTTGACAGGCAGAGCCCACAAAGGATGGAACATTTACCTAAACCACTTGTCGGGTAGAGTACACTTTTTTATTTCATATCACTCAAATATCCAATTAATGGTGGCCAATATTGAGAGAGATCCTCACGTATTGTGTCTGTAAATTACACGATCAATTGATGTTTACTGATCGTGGAAAGTATGCAGTTACTTGCTGTTATAACTCTGAGCTAAATGTGAGCAGTTGTTTTGCATGGAATAATTGGACATTTGTAGTTCTATGCTCTTCACCTTAGTGTGAGGTTTTATTGATGACGACCAGGCGTATGAACCAGGCGTTTCTGACTGCTGCACCTTTCTCAACATCTCTCCCAAATACATGCTTGTCTTTTGCGTCTTCAGTTTGATGGTGTAATGTCACAGCTAATTTCTCTTCTCCCTCCCCTCCCCTCCCCTCCCCAGCCCCCTCAGTTCAAGCTGGACCCTCGCCTGGCCCGTATGTTGGGGATCCACACCCAGACCAGGCCGGTCATCATCCAGGCCCTCTGGCAGTACGTTAAGACCCACAAGCTGCAGGACCCCCACGAGAGAGAGTTCATCAACTGTGACAAGTACCTGCAGCAGGTCAGAGTTCATCAACTGTGACAAGTACCTGCAGCAGGTCAGAGTTCATCAACTGTGACAAGTACCTGCAGCAGGTCAGAGTTCATCAACTGTGACAAGTACCTGCAGCAGGTCAGAGAGTAGCAAGTCTCTATGTTCACAGCTGGTTGGAAGATATAAGCCTTTCTTAGGGAGAGTAGAACCAGTGTCTTTTCCCCACTTTTGTATCTGTAATGTTGAGGCTTTGTTATATAACCTGATGGACAGTATGTAAGTAATGGGATTTGCCATTTCATGATCTTTATGGTTATGGTAAATGGCCCTGTTATGTTGTCCTTAGCCTAAACACACTGTAGACCTCCGACATATGATCCTTATTAACTGTCCATAGCTGAAACTTACAAAGCACAATATTGAATCCTTGCATGTCCAGTTCTTGAGTAAATGAATAAAGTTCTGTTTTTATCTATGTTCTAGATCTTTGAGACCCAGCGTATGAAGTTCTCTGAGATCCCACAGCGTCTACATGCTCTCCTGATGCCTCCAGAACCCATCATTATTAACCATGTCATCAGGTAGGGCTAACCTCTGACCATCATTATTAACCATGTCATCAGGTAGGACTAACCTCTGACCATCATTATTAACCATGTCATCAGATAGGGCTAACCTCTGACCATCATTATTAACCATGTCATCAGATAGGACTAACCTCTGACCATCATTATTAACCATGTCATCACTAACCCTAACCAGGTTTTAAATGATATCACTGAAGCCCTTGACAAAAAAACAGCACTGTGTCTCACTTTTTATTGATCTCTCTAAGGCTTTTGATACAGTTGATCATGCTATACTAAGGCAGAGATTGTTGAGTGTAGGTCTTTCGGAGCATGCAGTTGCATGGTTTGCTAACTATCTGTCTGATAGAACTCAGTGCACTCAATTTGATGGGCTTATGTCTGTTAAATTGTCTGTCCTGAATGGTGTGCCCCAGGGCTCTGTACTTGGTCCTCTCTTATTCACTATTTATATTAATGATTTAGACAAAAATGTCCAAAATGCACAACTTCATTTTTATGCTGATGATACTGTTATTTACTGTTGTGCCTCATCTCTTACAAAAGCTTTCCAGAACTTGCAAACTGCTTTTTATACTGTTCAACATACCTTGTGTCAATTGAAGCTTATCCTCAATACTGACAAAACTAAACTAATGGTGTTTTCTAATGCAAGAAATAGACCTCTGAACCTTTCACCTGTTACTACCTGTCAGGGCAAGGAGATTGAGGTTGTAACCTCATATAAATATCTTGGAATTCTAATTGATGACGGCCTCTCTTTTAAATTGCATATTCAACAACTTACAAAAAAATTGAAGCTGAAATTGGGATTTTATTTTAGGAATAAGGCCTGTTTTTCTTTTGAAGCCAGAAGGAGGCTAGTGTCAGCTACATTTATGCCTTTACTAGACAATGGAGGTTATTTTATATATGAATGCTTCCGCTCAGTGTTTGAGATCAATTGACACTCTTTACCATGGTACTTTGAGATTTATTTTAAACTGCAAAACCCTTACGCACCACTGTACTTTGTATACCAGGGTTGGCTGGCCTTCTCTAGTCACTCGTAGGCTCAGTCACTGGTATACTTTTATTTACAAAGCCATTTTGGGTTTACTACCTTTTTATTTGGGCATTTTTATTGTTCAGAAATGTGGTGGGTACTCTCTTCGTTCACTGGACTTTATCCTGCTAACTGTTCCAAATGTCCGAACTGAATTTGGTAAAAGGTATTTTATGTACTCTGCGCCATCGTCTTGGAACACCTTACAAAATAATTTTAAACTGGAAGAACTTGTCCCGATTGGTGTTTTTAAATCTCTGATGAAGGTTTTGAGGCTGATTCCCTGACCTGTCAATGTTTTTAATTTGCTGTTTTTGATATTGTTATACTCTTGTGAATTCATGAATGGTTTTTTACTAGATTACTTGTAGTTTTTCATGTTGTCTGTCTGTAATTTTTTGTAATGACTTGGTGCTGCCTATCTTGGCCAGGACGCTCTTGAAAAAGAGATTTTAAATCTCAATGAGCCCTTCCTGGTTAAATAAAGGTTAAATAAATAAATAAATGTCATCAGGTAGGGCTAACCTCTGACCATCATTATTAACCATGTCATCAGATAGGACTAACCTCTGACCATCATTATTAACCATGTCATCAGGTAGGACTAACCTCTGACCATCATTATTAACCATGTCATCAGGTAGGACTAACCTCTGACCATCATTATTAACCATGTCATCAGGTAGGACTAACCTCTGACCATCATTATTAACCATGTCATCAGGTAGGGCTAACCTCTGACCATCATTATTAACCATGTCATCAGGTAGGGCTAACCTCTGACCATCATTATTAACCATGTCATCAGGTAGGACTAACACTAACCTCCAGCAACAACACCTCACTGTCCTCACCACTATGGTCAACACCTCACTGTCCTCACCACTATGGTCAACACCTCACTGTCCTCACCACTAGGGTCAACACCTCACTGTCCTCACCACTAGGGTCAACACCTCACTGTCCTCACCACTAGGGTCAACACCTCACTGTCCTCACCACTAGGGTCAACACCTCACTGTCCTCACCACTAGGGTCAACACCTCACTGTCCTCACCACTAGGGTCAACACCTCATTATGTCATCACTAAGGTCCAGAGTTTTTCCGTGGTCAGGAAGAACTCCTGGCCCTTTTTTATAACTTAATGCTCAGATGATCAGATCTCACAATGCCTACAAAAGTGTTCAAATGTCTCAGGAACCACGTTAATATGATCTAAAACTCTGCTGAGATGTGTGCGGCGTGACTGCAAGAAAATACAATCTGGAACGAACCCGTAGTGTAAGATATTCGGCATGATCTAACTTCTCGCTGTCTCTACAGCGTGGATCCCAACGACCAAAAGAAGACGGCCTGCTATGACATCGATGTGGAGGTGGACGACACTCTGAAGACCCAGATGAACTCCTTCCTCCTGTCCACCACCAGCCAGCAGGACATAGCTGGCCTGGACAACAAGGTATGTATGGTGCTCGTGCTGTAGTTGACGTTTACAGTGGTCCGTAGCTGGCCTGGACAACAAGGTATGTATGGTGCTCGTGCTGTAGTTGACGTTTACAGTGGTCCGTAGCTGGCCTGGACAACAAGGTATGTATGGTGCTCGTGCTGTAGTTGACGTTTACAGTGGTCCATTAATTATCAAGGGACTGAATCTAGCCTACAACCTCTTATACATTTACATTTTAGTCATTTAGCAGACGCTCTTATCCAGAGCGACTTACAGGAGCAAATAGGGTTAAGTGCCTTGCTCAAGGGCACATCGGCAGATTTTTCACCTAGTCGGCTCAGGGATTAGAACCAGCGACCTTTCGGTTACTGGCACAACGCTCTTAACCGCTAAGCTACCTGCCGCCCACTTATGGTGAGATTTTCTGAGGCTGTGTTGCTGAGGCAATAAACAGCTGTTTTTCCGCACTCCTTTTGTCTCTCCTATTGTACAGCCCATCGTCAGAACGCTGGAGGAGTGAGAAATAAAGGCGACATAAAAAAATTGCATTCCTTTGATTGATCCTAAATACAGTCAGCAGGAACTGGGAGCAGACAGGAACCGACTGTACAGAGAAACTCACTGAACCTGAAATAAAGGGACAAATAGGCAGCCCTCCTCCCTCTCCAGCAGCAGTACACCTACTTCAAGTTCAGACTGTTAATACAGACCGAGAACAAGACCCCACAGGAAGGACTCTGAGACACACATACACACCCTGTCAGTAGCATTGGCTGCAGGTCTTATCCCTGTAATTGTAGAGAGGTCATAGCTGAGGTTACGAGTGCAGACTAAGGTCAGAGAGACCTCGACAAGCTGCTGTGACAAAGGCCAATTAAACACAACAGAGATGAGACAGAATGATCTACTCTACTGAAGAAGGAGCTATAGCGAACATATTCTACTACAGGGACTACAGATGATGTTTAGCCGGCTGGCTAAATCTGGTACATCTTACTGAACTATTGATCCATTTGCATTGTTGTCTGGTCTAATAAACCTAACTAAACAAAGTAACTCTTAATCCATCTTGGTTTGGACGTCCATCTTGCTGTTTCTTCCCCTTCAGATCCATCAGACCATTAGACAATACAGTGTATTTAGATGTTGAGCTAGGATTGACCCTCCATCTCGCTTCCTCCCCTGTAGATCCATGAGACCATAGAGACGATCAACCAGCTGAAGACCCAGAGAGAGTTCATGTTGAGCTTCGCCAGAGACCCCCAGGGCTTCATCAATGACTGGCTGCAGTCACAGTGCAGGGACCTCAAGGTAAACACACAGGAAAACACCACTATGGGGCATAGTTCAGGAGGGAGAAAACATTCTGTCTGCAGTCACAGAGCAGGGACATCAAGGTACACACACACAGGGGAAACACTGCTCTTGTGCTGCATGTGGGTCATAGTTCAGTAGGGAGGAAACGGGGAATGAAACAGGGAGGTACTTCAGGGCTTTATCAATGACTGGCTGTATTTATTATGGATCCCCATTAGTTCCTGCCAAGGCAGCAGCTACTCTTCCTGGGGTTTATTATGGAGCCCCATTAGTTCCTGCCAAGGAAGCAGCTACTCTTCCTGGGGTTTATTATGGATCCCCATTAGTTCCTGCCAAGGCAGCAGCTACTCTTCCTGGGGTTTATTATGGATCCACATTAGTTCCTGCCAAGGCAGCAGCTACTCTTCCTGGGGTTTATTATGGATCCACATTAGTTCCTGCCAAGGAAGCAGCTACTCTTCCTGGGGTTTATTATGGATCCCCATTAGTTCCTGCCAAGGCAGCAGCTACTCTTCCTGGGGTTTATTATGGATCCCCATTAGTTCCTGCCAAGGCAGCAGCTACTCTTCCTGGGGTTTATTATGGTTCCCCATTAGTTCCTGCCAAGGCAGCAGCTACTCTTCCTGGGGTTTATTATGGATCCCCATTAGTTCCTGCCAAGGAAGCAGCTACTCTTCCTGGGGTTTATTATGGTTCCCCATTAGTTCCTGCCAAGGCAGCAGCTACTCTTCCTGGGGTTTATTATGGTTCCCCATTAGTTCCTGCCAAGGAAGCAACTACTCTTCCTGGGGTTTATTATGGTTCCCCATTAGTTCCTTCCAAGGCAGCAGCTACTCTTCCTGGGGTTTATTATGGATCCCCATTAGTTCCTGCCAAGGCAGCAGCTACTCTTCCTGGGGTTTATTATGGTTCCCCATTAGTTCCTGCCAAGGCAGCAGCTACTCTTCCTGGGGGTTTATTATGGATCCCCATTAGTTCCTGCCAAGGCAGCAGCTACTCTTCTTGGGGTTTATTATGGATCCCCATTAGTTCCTGCCAAGGCAGCAGCTACTCTTCTTGGGGTTCCCCATTAGTTCATGCCAAGGCAGCAGCTACTCTTCCTGGGGTTTATTATGGATCCCCATTAGTTCCTGCCAAGGCAGCAGCTACTCTTCTTGGGGTTTATTATGGATCCCCATTAGTTCCTGCCAAGGCAGCAGCTACTCTTCTTGGGGTTCCCCATTAGTTCCTGCCAAGGCAGCAGCTACTCTTCCTGGGGTTTATTATGGTTCCCCATTAGTTCCTGCCAAGGCTGCAGCTACTCTTCCTGGGGTTTATTATGGATCCCCATTAGTTCCTGCCAAGGCAGCAGCTACTCTTCCTGGGGTTTATTATGGATCCCCATTAGTTCCTGCCAAGGCAGCAGCTACTCTTCCTGGGGTTTATTATGGATCCCCATTAGTTCCTGCCAAGGCAGCAGCTACTCTTCTTGGGGTTTATTATGGATCCCCATTAGTTCCTGCCAAGGCAGCAGCTACTCTTCTTGGGGTTCCCCATTAGTTCCTGCCAAGGAAGCAGCTACTCTTCCTGGGGTGTTTTATGGATCCCCATTAGTTCCTGCCAAGGCAGCAGCTACTCTTCTTGGGGTTCCCCATTAGTTCCTGCCAAGGCAGCAGCTACTCTTCCTGGGGTTTATTATGGATCCCCATTAGTTCCTGCCAAGGCAGCAGCTACTCTTCTTGGGGTTTATTGTGGATCCCCATTAGTTCCTGCCAAGGCAGCAGCTACTCTTCTTGGGGTTCCCCATTAGTTCCTGCCAAGGCAGCAGCTACTCTTCCTGGGGTTTATTATGGATCCCCATTAGTTCCTGCCAAGGCAGCAGCTACTCTTCTTGGGGTTCCCCATTAGTTCCTGCCAAGGAAGCAGCTACTCTTCCTGGGGTTTATTATGGTTCCCCATTAGTTCCTGCCAAGGCAGCAGCTACTCTTCCTGGGGTTTATTATGGATCCCCATTAGTTCCTGCCACGGCAGCAGCTACTCTTCCTGGGGTTTATTATGGATCCCCATTAGTTCCTGCCAAGGCAGCAGCTACTCTTCCTGGGGTTTATTATGGATCCCCATTAGTTTCTGCCAAGGCAGCAGCTACTCTTCCTGGGGTTTATTATGGATCCCCATTAGTTTCTTCCAAGGCAGCAGCTACTCTTCCTGGGGTTTATGGATCCCCATTAGTTCCTGCCAAGGAAGCAGCTACTCTTCCTGGGGTTTATTATGGATCCCCATTTAGTTCCTGCCAAGGCAGCAGCTACTCTTCCTGGGGTTTATTATGGATCCCCATTAGTTCCTGCCAAGGCAGCAGCTACTCTTCCTGGGGTTTATTATGGATCCTCATTATTTCCTGCCAAGGCAGCAGCTACTCTTCCTGGGGTTTATTATGGATCCCCATTAGTTCCTGCCAAGGCAGCAGCTACTCTTCCTGAGGTCCAGCAAAATTAAGGCAGTTATATACAATTAAAAACATTACATGACGGACAGATTTCACAACACATGAAGTGTGTTCCCTCAGGCCCCTACTCTACTACTACATATCTACAATAGAAAATCCATGTGTACAGTGCGTATGTTGTTGTCTGTGTGGGTGTGCCTGTGTGTGTCTCTTCACAGTCCTCACTGTTCCATTTGTATCTGTTTTATTACATCTGATTCTACTGCTTGCATCAGTTACCTGATGTGGAATAGAGTTCCATGAAGTCATGGCTCTATGTAGTACTGTGCGCCTCCTATAGTCTGTTCTGGACTTGGGGACTGTGAAGAGACCTCTGGTGGCATGTCTTGTGGGGTAATGCATGGGTGTCCGAGCTGTGTGCTAGTAGTTTAAACAGACAGCTCGTTGCATTTAAGATGTCAATACTTATCACAAATACAAGCAGTGATAATCTGTCCTCTACTTTGAGCCATGAGAGATTGCCATGCATATTATTAATGTTCACTCTCCGTGTACATTTAAGGGCCAGTCGTACTGCCCTGTTCTGGGCCAATTGTAATTTTCCTAAGTCCCTCTTTGTGGCACCTGACCACACGACTGAACGGAAGGCCAGGTGCTACAAAACTAGGGCCTGTAGGACCTGCCTTGTTCATAGTGCTGTTAATAATGTAGACCACGCTTTATTATGGACAGACCTCTCCCCATCTTAGCTACTGTTGTATCAACATGTTTTGACCATGACAGTTTACAATCCAGGGTTACTCCAAGCAGTTTAGTCACCTCAACTTGCTCAATTTCTACATTATTCATCACAAGATTTAGTTCAGGTTTAAGGTTTAGTGTATGATTTGTCCCAAATGCAATGCTTTTAGTTTTTGAAATATTTAGGACTAACTTTAATTGGCTGTGGTCACAATTCAGGGGCCGCAGGGTAAACTAACAGGAACACCACTATGGGGCATAGTTCAGTAGGGAGAAAACGGGAAACAGGGAGGTACCCCAATCACTGGCTGCAGTCACAGAGCAGGGACCTCAAGGTAAACTATGAACTAAATTTAAGAGAACTGGTGCTGAGGATTGATTCTAGTTCAGATAAGAAATGAGAGGCCCCCATGTGTGGGGAGCAGCAATATTATATTTTCTTTACCCTAAGGTAAACAAACACACTGGGAAACCACAGCTCTCTAGTCCTGTTCAGTTACTGATTACCCTTTACATAATATCTGGGTCGTGTTCATTAAGAAGAAAATACATAGAAATTAAGTGAAACAGGGAGATACTACTTGAAATTGTGTCCAATAAATACAGATTTGTTGTTTTCTTTTGCAAAACATTTTGATGTGTGTCTTGCTGAACATGACCCTCTCCTTGTGTTGTCATGGACTTGGTTAGGCATTAGCTAGCTGCCATGGACGTATGTTAGCCATAAGCACTAGCTAGCTGCCATGGACGTAGGTTAGCCATTAGCACTAGCTAGCTGCCATGGAAGTGTGTTAGCCATTAACACTAGCTAGCTGCCATGGATGTAGGTTAGCCATTAGCACTAGCTAGTTACATGGACAAAGGTTAGCCATTAGCACTAGCTAGCTGCTATGGACGTAGGTTAGTCAATTAGCACCAGCTAGCTGCCATGGAAGTACGTTAGCCATTAGCACTAGCTAGCTGCCTTGGACGTAGGTTAGCCATTAGCACTAGCTAGCTGCCATGGACGTATGTTAGCCATTAGCACTAGCTAGCTGCCATGGACGTATGTTAGCCATTAGCACTAGCTAGCTGCCATGGACATAGGTTCCATGTGTAGTGTTTGTTCAGCTGATTCTTGGACAAGGACCAAACCCCAGACTGACTGGACTGTCAATGACAACCAAAGGCTTTATTAAAGGAAGTATTACTAAAAGTTGTATGTTTCTAATGTATATGATTATTTTTTACAGACTATGACTGATGTGGTTGCGAACCCAGAAGAGGAGAGGAGAGCAGAGTTCTATTTCCAACCCTGGGCCCAGGAGGCAGTGTGTCGTTACTTCTACTCCAAGGTAACCTCCTCACCTCCCACCATTCTGTGTGTGTGTGTGTGTGTGTGTGTGTGTACGGTGGTGTGTGTGTGTGTGTACCGTGGTGTGTGTGTGTAAGGTGGGGGGGTGTACGGTGGGGTGTGTTTCGCTACACCTACGCCAAGGGAAAGCCCTCTCTCTTCTGCCATTCATTCTCCATGAGGGTCGTCATCGCTGAATCACCAAGTGTTTTTTTCTGCCATACTAAATACTTGAAAACACATTCTCTGAACATGATTTTCAGTTGTACTTTATTTTACAGTACTGGTATTTGCCTGATGTTAACCTGGTATTCCTTTCACTTATAGCAAATGCTGTAATCCCTTCTAAAGTGCTCTATGAAATTGAATTTCCATTTTATGAAATTAATATAGTTATTTATCTGCATTTTAATCTCTTAATTTTTAATTTTTTTTATGTATTTCAGGTCCAGCAGAGAAGGCAGGAGCTGGAACAAGCCCTGGGAATCAGAAACACTTAGAGATGATGATGATGTCGAAGAAAAACAGGCCAACCGAGGAACAAGAGTGGCCATTCTCTCTGGGAGGAGGAAGAGAAGTGTGGGACATTCATAAATACGCCCTTGATTTTTTGGAAAACGTAGATAAACATCTTAGATATAGATCTCCTTTACTGCTGGTGGTAACTATAGGATATCTTTTTGAAAGTCACCTAGCAGGCCGTTATGGTTATGTATCAATGTTTGATTTATATTTGTCCCGCTAAAAGATCTTTTGACTTATTTTCTCTCAATGGTCTATCTCTATGCCTTACCTCAATGCATTCCCTTTTTGTGCTGAACTCTCTCACAAATCGCCAATCTTGAATCTATATTCAGGCCTAAGGTTGAAATGACCCCCAACTAAGTATTGATGCTACTCCACAACAACTAATATTGGGTATTTTAACTTCAATTAAAGTCGTAACATTTGGCCATTGTGAAAAAGCGTTGGGTTAATTTTAAATGCTTTGACTGTCTCGAACCCGCTCTGAGTCCAAACTAACTCATAACTGATCAGGTGATAACCTACACGCACTACCATTCTGGCTTTGGTCTGGAATCGATATTCGGTGTTTGTTTGGTATTGATAGGGTTGTGAGTATTCAGTGGTCTTTTATTGCCGTGCTAGCTATCCGTTTCTTACCAAGATTATTTGAAATGGTTCAAGAGTATTCTAGAATTCTTGTTGTAGAATATTCTACTTTTAGAATGTTGTGTGCTTCAAAAATTATCCCCTGAACACTTCGAAGCATGATGTCAGGCAGGCTTCACGATATTGTGAAGATTCAGTCTGTTGGTTTAGTTCATTATTTAAGGGGCCATTTCATTTGAAACTATTTTTGTGGAGCTTAGTTTTTTTGTTAATGATCTTTTTTTTTATGTTTCGAAAGTATGAATTATATTAAGGCGTGTCTTGTTAGAAGTAAAAAATATTAAGGAAGTAGTGTTAGTAGTAATTACCTCAAGTCTATATAGTTTTGTCAAATTGAGCAGAACAACCTGATGATTGATGTGAAGGAAAAATGTATGTTTTAAAGGGCAGACCATCATTTTGACTCACTGTCTAATACTCCTATCGTTTTCCCAAGACGTTCCCCTTCGAGTGATCTCAATGGTTTAATCCAGAACATTGTCTATAACCTAGCAGCAAGTTGCAGTTGCTTGTTGATCCTGTGTGGAACAACATTCAAGGTTCTATTGTTGGGTTAAGATGAATTCCTCTGGGTTTTCCTCTTTAGTATTTGTTAGTGTGCAGAAGCCATCGGCACCGAAGGAAGAGAAGCGTAGAGCTGGGTTCACTAGTAGATGTGACATATTTAAGAATGTCATCTTTTTTGATAGTATGATAGAACGCTTACGCCTGTTGTGTTGCGGTTTAGATGTGATGACATGTAAAGGATGTATGAAGCTTTATGGTTGGGCTCAATTTGGTATCAGTTCAGTAGTCAAGTGAAATAAAGTGCCATTTATTTTCAATTGATTTTTTTTCTCCTAAATGTAATTGTAATTTCAATCCGTGTTGTAATTGTCCTGAATTGCCCCCAAGCCTGTAAAGGATGATACTGACGACTGATTGAAATCTTCAGACCTAAATTGTATTTTTCTCTTGTGGACCAAACCTATTTTTTCCTGTATGTTTTAATCCTATGCTATAATAAAGGATATCTTCAATGATAACTTCTCGGTTGTGAATGAATGATTTAAAGTTTGTAATGTTTTCTACCAATTGATGCACAAACTGTCTTTCCATTAAATATGTTAGCTGCCTAGTGCTCAGCATCACAGTGTTTAGTTCTGGGGTTCTTATGAACACCACACACACACCTGTCTATAAACACCTGTCACACACACAGTGAAGAGGCGACTCCGGGATGCTGACCACCTAGGCAGAGTTGCAAAGAAAAAGCCATATCTCAGACTGGCCAATAAAAATAAAAGATTAAAGATGGGCAGTCTGACAAATGGCTTTTTCTTTGCAACTCTGCCTAGAAGGTCAGCATCCCGGAGTCGCCTCTTCACTGTTGACGTTGAGACTGGTGTTTTGCGGATACTATTTAATGAAGCTGCCAGTTGAGGACCTGTGAGGAGTCTGTTTCTCAAACTAGACACTAATCTATTTGTCCTCTTGCTCAGTTGTGCACCGGGGCCTCCCACTCCTCTTTCTATTCTGGTTAGAGCCAGTTTGCGCTGTTCTGTGAAGGGAGTAGTACACAGCGTTGTACGAGATCTTCAGTTTCTTGGCAATTTCTCGCATGGAATACCCTTCATTTCTCAGAACAAGAATAGACTGACGAGTTTCAGAAGAAAGTTATTTGTTTCTGGCCATTTTGATCCTGTAATCGAACCCACAATTGCTGATGCTCCAGATACTCAACTAGTCTCAAGAAGGCCAGTTTTATTGCTTCTTTAATCAGCATAACAGTTTTCAGCTGTGCTAACATAATTGCAAAAGGGTTTTCTAATGATCAATTAGCCTTTTAAAATGATAAACTTGGATTAGCAAACACAACGTGCCATTGGAACACAGGACTGATGGTTGCTGATAATGGGCCTATGTAAATATTCCATTAAAGAATCAGCCATTTCCAGCTACAATAGCCATTTACAACATTAACAATGTCTACACTGTATTTCTGATCAATTTAATGTTATTTTAATGGACAAAAAAATTGCTTTTCTTTCGAAAACAAGGACATTTCTAAGTGACCCCAAACTTTGAACGGTAGTGTATACAGTGGGGAGAACAAGTATTTGATACACTGCCGATTTTGCAGGTTTTCCTACTTACAAAGCATGTAGAGGTCTGTAATTTTTATCATAGGTACACTTCAACTGTGAGAGACGGAATCTAAAACAAAAATCCAGAAAATCACATTGTATGATTTTTAAGTAATTCATTTGCATTTTATTGCATGACATAAGTATTTGATCACCTACCAACCAGTAAGAATTCCGGCTCTCACAGACCTGTTAGTTTTTCTTTAAGAAGCCCTCCTGTTCTCCACTCATTACCTGTATTAACTGCACCTGTTTGAACTCATTACCTGTATAAAAGTCACCTGTCCACACACTCAATCAAACAGACTCCAACCTCTCCACAATGGCCAAGACCAGAGAGCTGTGTAAGGACATCAGGGATACAATTGTAGACCTGCACAAGGCTGGGATGGGCTACAGCACAATAGGCAAGCAGCTTGGTGAGAAGGCAACAACTGTTGGCGCAATTATTAGAAAATTGAAGAAGTTCAAGATGACGGTCAATCATCCTCGGTCTGGGGCTCCATGCAAGATCTCACCTCGTGGGGCATCAATGATCATGAGGAAGGTGAGGGATCAGCCCAGAACTACACGACAGGACCTGGTCAATGACCTGAAGAGAGCTGGGCCCACAGTCTCAAAGAAAACCATTAGTAACACACTACGCCGTCATGGATTAATATCCTGCAGCGCACGCAAGGTCCCCCTGCTCAAGCCAGCGCATGTCCAGGCCCATCTGAAGTTTGCCAATGACCATCTGGATGATCCAGAGGAGGAATGGGAGAAGGTCATGTGGTCTGATGAGACAAAAATAGAGCATTTTGGTCTAAACTCCACTCGCCGTGTTTGGAGGAAGAAGAAGGATGAGTACAACCCCAAGAACACCATCCCAACCGTGAAGCATGGAGGTGGAAACATCATTCTTTGGGGATGCTTTTCTGCAAAGGGGACAGGACAACTGCACCGTATTGAGGGGAGGATGGATGGGGCCATGTATCGCGAGATCTTGGCCAACAACCTCCTTCCCTCAGTAAGAGCATTGAAGATGGGTCGTGGCTGGGTCTTCCAGCATGACAACGACCCGAAACACACAGCCAGGGCAACTAAGGAGTGGCTCCGTAAGAAGCATCTCAAGGTCCTGGAGTGGCCTAGCCAGTCTCCAGACCTGAACCCAATAGAACATCTTTGGAGGGAGCTGAAAGTCCATATTGCCCAGCGACAGCCCCGAAACCTGAAGGATCTGGAGAACGTCTGAATGGAGGAGTGGGCCAAAATCCCTGCTGCAGTGTGTGCAAACCTGGTCAAGACCTACAGGAAACGTATGATCTCTGTAATTGCAAACAAAGGTTTCTGTACCAAATATTAAGTTCTGCTTTTCTGATGTATCAAATACTTATGTCATGCAATAAAATGCAAATTAATTACTTAAAAATCATACAATGTGATTTTCTGGATTTTTGTTTTAGATTCCGTCTCTCACAGTTGAAGTGTACCTATGATCAAAATTACAGACCTCTACATGCTTTGTAAGTAGGAAAACCTGCAAAATCGGCAGTGTATCAAATACTTGTTCTCCCCACTGTATATACATTTCCCTTTAAAAAAAATATATTTCCCTTTATTACTTTCCAACCCCACCACCCCTTCCCTAATTGGAGTAAACTAGTGAACAGCAACGCTTAGGCCTCTACTTCCAGCTTATACATACTATATACATTTTATGAACACAGTCAATTTTACAAAAAAATCTATTTTGTTTGTTTTTACTCCTGAACTTCCTCTACCCTCAACCTCTCTGATCATTTTCATGATGTCCATCCGGTTTGCTTCTATATGCCATATCTTTCTAACTGTGCTCTTTCACAAAAGCTCTCAACCTATAACCTATATACTTATTATGGACACAGTATGCTTTACATTAGTTATCTTGTTGTTATTAGTTGTTGTTAGTTGTTATTAGTCCCATCCTTCAGCTCCATTCAACACCTCCCATCTATCTCTTAACACCATCCATATTGGATTTCAATTTGCCATATATTTTTCAACTGTACTGTGATGTTTCACAAAAGTTCTGAACCCTTCTATTCTCATTGTTTCTATAGATTGTAAATTGAAAATAAACATTTTTGCTAAAAGTATTATTATATTATTGATCGATTGACTATGACTTTTCAGATCACCCAGTAGTGCAATCTGCAGGGTTAGCTCCAGGTAAATATTGCAATCCTTCAGCCATTCCTGGACCTGTGACCAAAAACAAGCTACAAATGGACAGTACCAAAACAAATGATCTAATGATTCTGTCTCTTCGCAGCAAAATCTGCAGAGCAGGGAAGATTGTATCCCCCATATAAATAACATTATATTGGCAGCAAGAATTTTGTATAATCATTTACATTGAAAAATTATAAGTTTTGAATCCGGCGTCGTTTTGCGTATCAGTTCATAAACACTATGCCATGGAATCGGTACGTGAAAAATCTCTTCCCAACTATTTTGCAATCTCTATGGGACGGCTGTCAATCCTTTGGTCCTTAAATGAAACTGGTATACTTTTTTATTTATCACAATTTTCTTTAACCAATTTTGTTATTTAATCCAGGGCCAACAGACAAGTTCCTTACTTTTTCCCCCTTCCACTTTCCTCTTCAATTTTTGCGGTAATGCTGCAATTATTTGGTTGTAACTTTGGGTAGAGCAGACATTTCTATATTTTTTTGTTAGCTGCATGTGCGACATAACTCCACCAGTCCTACCTATGATATCATTTACGAAGATTATACCTTTTTTAAACATTTTCTCAAAAAAATAATGGTTTCTTATCAATTAGTATATTTGAGTTTAACCACAATATTTGTTGCATTATTTGTTCTGTCGTTTCGGGAGGATTAAATTGAAATTGCAACCAACTTTCTATGGCTTGTTTTAGAAATAGCGATATTTGGGAGATTATTTCCTTTTCAAATAACTGAAAGTGAGAGGTGGTAATCTGAATAAAGGGAAAAAGGCCATTCTTGAACATGGGGTGAGACAATCTTACTAATTTGCTAGAGAACCAGTTCGGATTTAAGTATAACGTTTGTATGACTGAAGCTTTTAGTGATAGGTCTAATGCTTTAATATTTAATCATTTCTGTCCTCCGAATTCATATTCATTATATAAATAGTCCCGTTTAATTTTGTCAGGCTTGCCGTTCCAAATAAAATGGAATCTTTTTTTCTCATATAATTTAAAAAACTGTTCGCTAGGCGTAGGCAAGACCATAAGCAAATAGGTAAACTGGGATAATACTAAAGAGTTAATCAGGGTGATTTTTTCCACAAATAGACAGGTATTTACCTTTCCATGGTAGCAAGATCTTATCTATTTTTGCTAACTTTCTATTAAAATGTGTTGGAGTGAGATCATTTATTTCATTTGGGATATGTATTCCGAGTATATCCACAACACCATCAGACCATTTTATTGGTAAACTACATGGTAATGTACATTTTTTATTTTTTAGTGATCCAATACGTAATATAGTACATTTATCATAATTTGGTGGTAATCCAGAGAGGTTAGAAAATGTATCTAGATCTTCTATGAGGCTGTGGAGGGATTCAAGTTGTGGATTTAAAAGAAAACATGAATTATCAGCGTACAATGACACCTTTGTTTTTAAGCCCTGGATTTCTAATCCCTTGATATTATTGTTGGATCTGATTTTAATAGCTACAGTGGGGGAAAAAAGTATTTAGTCAGCCACCAATTGTGCAAGTTCTCCCACTTAAAAAGATGAGAGAGGCCTGTAATTTTCATCAAAGGTACACGTCAACTATGACAGACAAAATGAGATTTTTTTTCTCCAGAAAATCACATTGTAGGATTTTAAATGAATTTATTTGCAAATTATGGTGGAAAATAAGTATTTGGTCAA